AAATAAACCTGCAACTACATACTATAAGCTACAAGGATGAAATGATTTTCTAATAGTATCTAAATATCCTWATAGTATCTAGATCCTAATAGTATYTAAAATATCTAAGCAACCCCATGAGTGGCTGTGTGCTTCCCTGAGGCTGGGGCTGTTTGCTGAGCTTGATTTCAGCTTCTCCACAGTAGCAAAGTTGCCTCCATTGTAAATGACAGATGAAAGCTATTGTAGAGTTACTGCTGTTGTAAAAACGGCAGATGAATGTTCTGTGGCAGATAAAAATCTGTGAGTTTGCTGGTGAATGATGGATCCTGTTAATTCTGGGGCCTTTGCCCCAGTGCCTATATGAGCAAGCCAGCTGTGAGAACCACTGCCCTTAAACACAGTTAACTAAAATAACTCTGAGTGAAATGTGTGTGTTTACACAGTGATCACAAAAACAGCTCTCAAACTCCTTCTCAACACAGGGAAATGTCAGCCACCACTAACCCAGCAGGAGCAGGTGTTAAACATACTGTGAGAAAAAGTCTTGGATTGTATTCCTCAGTGGGATTAGTAGGCAGGATGTGCCTTTAGCTGGCATCAGTATGGCTCATTTGGAAGCTCTCCTCAAGCCAGGAATGTCACATCCTTCCCTTAAACCAGGGAATTGTGTGAGGAGAAAGTGTCTGAGGGGCTTTTGTGAGGAGCATCTCAGAACTTTCCTAGCTACTTTAGGGTGGAAAAGGCCTTCATTCTAATATAAGGAGTCCCAAAAAGTGCTTCAAAATCCTTTTGAAAAGCCTTTGTGTCCCTCCCCTCTAGGGGAGGTGCTGACCTGTTTCTCACACTTATTTGTTTTCTGTGTTTCAGTGGACAATGACCCACATTTCATCATACACCTGCCCAAGAGCCAAAAGAACATCTGCTTCAATATCAACTCAGAGCCCGGGAAGATCCTCAACTTGGTTTCTGATCCTGGCACAGGTAAGGGAGTAAAGCACAGTTTATTTTGCAGCACAAATTTCTTCCCTAGGATCTGAAAGGTGCTCAGAGGAAGCAGGGGAATTGCTTCCAGAGGGGAGTGTGCTGGCAGGAGTGTGGCCAGCAGGCTGAGGGAAGTGTTTCTTTCCCTYCACATCTGGAGTATCATGTCCAGTTTGGGCTTTGCTATTATGAGAGAGATCTTCACAAACTGGATCAAATTCTATGGTGGTGACCAAGGTGATTAGGAGGTGGAGCAGAGGACACAGAGGGAGAAGCTGAGACAGCTGGCTTTGATCAAGCTTCAGAAAAGAAGTGGTGGATCCATGGTAGGTCCATGGTGGATCTTGTTGYTGCTCTCAACCTCAGCAGGTGAGGATGGAGCCTTGCTCATCTCCAAAGTGCTCAGCTGAGGGACAAGAGGCTACAGAAATGAGGTGAAACAGGTGAAACTCAGAGCAGGAGAGAGCTACTGGGAAAACTCTGTCACTGTGAGGATGGCCAAACACTGRGAAAGGAGCCAAGAACATGGAATAATGGAACGGCTGAGGTTGGCAAAAACCCTAAAAAAGGTTAACAAATACAACTTTTAATCCAGCACTGCCAATCCCACCATGAAACCATGTCCCCAAGTGCTATATCCACACAKTTTTTAAATATTTTCAGAGATGGTGACTCCACCATTTCCCTGGGCAGCCTGTTCCAATGACCACCCTTTTAGTAAAGAGGTTTATCCTAATAGCCAGTCTAAACCTCCCCTGGCACAACTTGAGGCCATTTCCTCTTCTCCTGGTCAAACAGTGATGAGCATTTGGAGGCAGGTGAAGCTGGGATGGATTTTGGTACCAGTCCTCCACTGCCCATTCAGTTCATGCTTTTCACAGAAAGCAAGAGACTGAAGAATTTTTGCTCCTACTCCCATCGAGACCTAACAGCAACTCCCACCCAATTATTATGCTAAGGGGTTGAACAGCAGCATCAGGAAACAATTTAATAAATTATTCCTTTCTCTTTKCTGGCAAAATGAGAAAAACAGGGGTCAGAGGGGTTCCTGTCTCTGTTGATCCCATGGTGCTCCCTGTCGAGACCAGAACTCCAAGTCTCCAGGTAGTGTTCCGAGACTCAGGCAACATTTCCTTCTCTGCTCTCCACAGGAGTTGTGGTCAATGGGCAGCTCGTCGGGGCCAAGAAAGCAGAGAATAAGAAACTCAACACCTACTTTGGCAAAATTGGGTTTTACTTCAAAAAGAAAGGCCTGAAAGTGGAGATCACCACAGAAACGATAACTCTGAAAGATGGCTCGTACACCATCACCCTGAGATGGGCTGACACGGGGCACATCATTCGGAAACAGTGAGTTATCAGCACTTTTTACCTGTTCCCACCTAATGCTGTTTGAGAAACACTTAGAGTTCCTGCCATGATGTGAATCACAACATCCAGGCGACCTTCCCCTGTAGATTAACACCTATCAGCCATGCTGGACACCCTACAGCATGGTTTAGGCAACAGGACCATATCCAGAATCTCCATTCATTGTAGAAAGAGCTTCAATTTGTAGGGGAAATTTGATTATCTTAACATGAGGGTGAAGTGTCTGTTTATTAGGCACTGTCATGCCAGACCTGTGGGTACCACTCCCAAGGCTCAGGGTTTTTAATGGATCCTCTGAYGTATCTGTCATCCCTGTGGGATTGTTCTGGATGCCCACAAAGCAGCTCAAGGGACTGAGAGCTTTTGTGAGGGCAGGCAAATTGACCCTGCCCTTTGGTTTCTATCCTTCAGGCTCCTCATATCTGTGAAGAGAGAAAGTAACGTTACCATCTCCGTGGGGGAGGAGATGTCCTTCATGGTTTTGCTGCACCGTGTGTGGAAGAAACACCCAGTGAATGTTGACTTCCTGGGAATCTACATTCCCCCTGAAAACCAGTTCTCTCCTGCAGCTCATGGGCTGATAGGTAGGGGCTGGGGGCTGGGCAGTGGGAGTGGCGGGGCACTAGGAAGGGGTATTACTAGATTTTTGTGTGAATTTTATACAATTATAGACATAAAACATCCTGAGTTGGAAGGGACTCAMAAGGAGTCCAGCTCCTGCACAGGACACTCCCAARAATACCACCATGTGCCTGAGAGCATTTTCCAAATGCTCCTTAACTCTGGTTTGGTCCTGTGATCACTTCCCTGGGGAACAWGTTCCACTGTCCAACCATCCCCTGGATGAAGAACCTTTTCCCAATATCCAGCCTGAACMWCTCCTGGCACATCTTATRCTGTTAATTTGCTGGWGCCTGTATTCTGAAGGAAAAGGTGTRGAAATTATTGAAAAAGAGAAGGGGGAATGTCCTGTAATGCCCTGAAGACCCAAGGACATTGTGGAACATCAGGGACAAGATTATTCCCCGTTCAAAACAGACCTGACACTGAGACAGAGCTTTTCCTGCCTGGCTAAACTGCTGCAGGTTGAAATTAAAGACTGAAACAAGTCCCTCAAATCTTTCTAAGAAGACTTCCGTGGAATCATCTGTAATGCAGTTCTTCCCTAAATGACAGCTCTTTCTGTGATATAAAACAAAAGCAAGTGCTCAGTTCATAGAGAAAATCAACTCCCAGAGCCCTGGACCCACTTTTGAGGAGCAGGGGTTATTTTCCCAATTAGTGAGAAACTGACTGCCCTGTGATCCATGTGGTTTGCCTGCTGGAGCTAGTTTGATTTTCCAAAAGTGCCTGGCAGCAGCTRAAATGGAGCTCCAAAGGTCAGACCACACAAAGAGCTTTAAACCTCTCCCTCATCAGGTCAGTTTGCAGCTGAACCAGAAGTGTCCATCCACCACCAAACACCTGGGCAACCTCCAGAGAGATCACAAGCCATCATGGAAGTGAAGGGCAACAAGTTCACTGTTACCAGGTAGGAATCATGTGCTTTATTAYTCTCTTTCTAAACCAGTTCTRTCCTCAGAGCTGCCCAGCACCTGAYTTTGRACAGRTTTGAAAGRTGCCTGGAACTCCCATGAAAAGGCCCATGAGGCCACAAAACTGTAAAATTGTGTTTTGTGGTTATTTCCACTTCCTGCTGGCAGAAGACACATCTCCCCGCTTTGCCAGAGCAGCACCAATATTTATCAGGATAACCAATGTCTCCTTGTCTATTTGCCATGTTGTGACCCCCCTTTTGGGTGCCCTCTCCCTGCAGGGGTGTGCAGAAGGACTACAGGACAGACCGTGTGCTGGGGACTGAYGTGCTGTGCTGGTTTGTGCACAACAGTGGGAAAGGCTTCATAGATGGCCACTACAGGGATTACCTGGTCCCCCACCTCTACAGCTTCATGAAGAAACCCTAAATGCTCCAGTTTAGTACCAAAAAAATCCTATGTGCTCCTTCATGCCCAAAAAACTCCTCTGAGCAGCAGATGTCAGCCTGTCATGCCAAGGTCGACTGGAGGTGACTCCACCACTGTTTTGTTTTATTAGTGTTTCAAAACCATGTAACTCCCTCTTCTGTTGAGAAATGAAATCTGTAATAAAGTGACATGCTGGGTTGGAGGAGGTGTCTTCCTCTTGCCTTGTCTGATTTAATAGGCTGTAAACTCCATTAAAAATTTCAATTATTTTCTAATATTCATTTCACGTAGAGGTTAASAGTGTTGTGCTTCCTGTAGTGTGGGTAACACAACACACATGACCAGATTTAAATATGTGTTTAATACTTACACCTTTGTGGTTTTGGACTGCTGGGAAAATATAAGTTTATACAATGTTGGACTGGGAAAAAAGAATGGTGTGTGTTAAGCAAAGGAAATTTAACAAAAAGGGAACATGGGCCTGGAATCAGTATCATGAGCAGTCTCCAGTATTTAAAGATGGATTAACCAATGGTAAGGAGAGTCCTTGGAATAATTGATGGTGCTGTATTTCCAGGAAATTAATTAGATGAATCTCAGACAGCCTCCAGCTTAATTGCTGTGAAAATTTCATCATCAGAATGGGCTTCATGCAGATRYAAATCCAGGAAAAGAGGAAACATTYACAYGATATAGAAATAATYATCAGTTCTAAGTTTTCCTTCCAGRGTGCTTAGCTCCCAAAAGATCCCTTACTTTTCAGGAGCATTCAGCAATAAATGAGATCAGTAGGGAAACAAATATACCAAAAGCAGGATTTAGAACTACTCTGACAATCTCAGAAAAAAAACATTGGCCATACCCTTTTCAATGGCCCTAATCTAGGAAAGGGACTCAAGTGGTCTCCTTGCCCTTTTCAACTTTAGTTTCCTACACTTACGCAGTGAAAGCTGCTACAGGATCTTTCTTGCAGCTGTGTCAGGAGTGAGAGGATCAATGTGGTTTTGAAATGTCTCTTCAGAGTCACTCCCRGAAGTGTCAGTGACTTCCTACAAATCATTTATGGCTTCTTTGAATTCACCCATCAGCTCTGGCCTCCACAACATCCTGCAGCTGCCACTTCCCCAGTTCAACCAAGCAATGAGCAACCATTCTCTGGTCTTTGCTACACAATTTCTTAATTGTCTACTATGTTAACTCTAATTTGGCAAATGCAATTATTTTCGGCGATACAGAAGCTGTTCTGTTCTGTCACTTGCCCTCCTTACCCTCCTACAAACCTTCTCTCCCTCACCACCCGTTCTCTGAGAAAGGGCAGAGCTGTTTACACAGCCCAGGTTACACAGAGAGCCTGAATTTACAGAAAAGTGTTTTCTGCCCCAAGTTCTCATAAGGTGCCACTCTTTATGCTCGGGAGCCTTGAAAAGACCCCTCATGTCCTGTGTGAGGCTGTTCCAGGCTACCTGAGACAGCAGCTGTTTTGTTAAACCTCTGCAGACTTCCAGTTTTGTGCAGATTTCCCCTAAAAACCACRAATCAATAAGATGTTCCAAGGCAAGGGAAGGGAAAAGGTTCCAGAGACACACAAACTTCAGGTGGTGGGTTTTCTCTTGCCCAGGACAACCTGCATATCTTTTTTACCCAAATAATATGGTTCACCAACCCAGATCTTCGCTGTGCTCTTTGGATTTAAATTAACAGCTGTCTCAAGCATTGGAAAGGTTGGTAACATATACACCAGCCTAAGAAAAAATTGTTTTTATTCCTGAAGTGCCTTAGAAATTAAATATCATACAAAATGTGACACTTCAAAAAAAATAAAACAGGTAATGCTGTATCATTTAGCATGAGTAATGTTACTCGTGTAGCAGAGCAACAACAGAAGAAAGGAAAAGACTTTGGAAAACCAGAAGAGCAACCCCCAACTCACATCTGCACACGCTTTAGCTGGCATCCCAAATTACTTCACAAGTAACATCCATGGAGCAGCTCCACATGAGGTCCATATGAAGATAAATTGCATACCAGTATTATCAGGACCCCTGACAAACCTGCTGGAGGAACGATGACTTGCATTCTACTACCACTGATGTGCTGATCAAAAATAAATTGGTGACAGCACTTAATAAACCAGATCATTCTTACAGCATCCAGGAAATTATSCCTTGAAGCACTGGTACCTTCCTGRTATTTTCTTAATTCCTCCCTYTGTTCCTGCAGCCAGGACTCCACTTTGGCTGTGGATTGAGAAGTGTGCTGTTTAAACTCCACGGGCTCCAGTGTAGGTTAATTCTCTCTTCAGGACCTGCCCACATACTCCAGTTTGCAGCTCTCTGCTACATTTTGCAAAAGGAAACTGAAGCAAATATTGCAACTTTGATATAAAATCAGATGAAAAATTTCCACTGATAGTATTCCCATAAACATTTGATGTAACAAATTGATAGCTATCTTTAAATAAATCAAGTCTGTTGTTAATGTCTATATACAATATAAATACATACACACACAATTAAAACCCTGACATGGTAGAGTCTTGTGTCTGCCTGAAACATGTCAGAAATAAGGTTTGGGGAACAAAAATCTTCTCTGATCCATGACTAGCAACTCAGGCGAGTTTGGAAACATCTTCATACTGGATATCTTCAACTCTGCGTCCTTTTAAAGGTCCCTGGAGAGTGACAGAGTAGAAGAAATAAGATCACAATATAAAATTGTTTGTTTCTTGAATTCCCAACAGGGAGTTTATAGTAGGAGAGCTAAAGGGGATTTGTTCATGACACAGTGTTTCCTGTTCCATTATTTTCAGCCTGACCAGAAAATGTAACAGGGCCTAAACATACTGTCTCAGAAATCCTTTCACTTTCAGGATGCTTTTAGCAGCAAAGTTCCTCCTGTCATCAGGGAATCCGCACAGTCTCTTCCCAAATTCTCCAGAATCCAGACTGGGCTGAGTTTCTGCAGCCCTTCTTTGAATGGGATCTAATAGGGTCTCTCTCTTGCAAGCTGTGTTTAAGCAGTTTGACTTGGAGCAATATCCTCTCTGCTTTATCGATGAGTTTAAAAATTGATTTTGCACAGGAGATCAAAGAAAGAGCCACACAGACACCATAGCATGGACTGGCTGTTAACCATAACTGTTACCCAGAAACAAGACAAGAAAGAAGCACATAAAGCCCCACATTCAGTCTGGAAAAGGCAGGAGAAAATTCACATCCTTGCATATTTTATATTATTTTACCTTCCCACAAAACAGTACAATAGCCATGYTCAAAATAAACACACAAAATATTTTCCAAGTCTCTTTCAAGTTCAAAACACGTTAAATTCAGCAGTTTTTTGAAGACAAACGGCAGAGAATTAGTCAGCAAAGGGGAATATTGACTGCTTTCCTGTTGGGAATAGGTGTGGGATGTCCACAGAACTCTGCATACCATAAATCCCACCTGTAGGGCAGGATTAAGGATAACATGGTTCTTTGTGAAAGCTCTCCATGTACAGATGGAAAGCTCCCTGCAAACAAGAGCTTGCAGTGTTTGATACTTACAGAGTCAATGGTTATTGTCACTGARAACTTCTTTTCATTGATGGATTCCAAGATGCCTTCATTTCCCCTGTACCCACCATTTAATACCATCACTTTCTTGCCTGAG